ACTCATGTGTGCCTGCATTCAGCATTACACCAAGCAGCTGCATCCTCCAACCATATCTAACAGGGCCAACTTTCCAAGTTTGGAATAAGCCCATGCAGGTTAACATAGCTTTCCAGGTGCCTATTTTTGCCTGGCACCATCTTTGCCTGCTGCAGAGGTTATAGTAGGCATACTCTGGCTGTTGCCCCAGTAACTTATCTCACGGGAGGAGTTGTCAGGGGACAGCAGGACACCCAGCACAATGGGACACAGCTTGACAGAATGGATGTTCTGCTCAGAACAAACACTGCTAAATTATTTACAAACACTATAACATAGTAGAGTTGAACGACCTAACACCCCTCCCTTCTTTCAGACTCTGCAAATTTGAACAATGACCAAGCTGGAGAGACTGATTCAGTATATCCCTCACCTTCAGCTCCTAAACACAAATACTGTGGTTCTTCCAAGAAGCCACTAACAAGAGGAGACCCTGTGACTGTGTTGTATTTTCTCCTTTCTCATCAGGAGAAAGACAATATGAGCAGGTACATATATCCCTATCAGTCTCATTTTCATGCAACTCATCATATCCTTGAATGTAACCTGAGATTATGGTCTGCCTGTGCTGGGAGTCCATACAATAATGTGGTGTATTCAGGGTGCAGCTGTGAGGACAGCCAGCCATTATGCATTTATGAATAGAATTGAGACACGTTTCCTTGAAGCAGCAGAGGTTTGGAGTTGGGAAACTAGGAGGCTGACCTTTTCCAGTCTGTGTGGAACAGCAGCCTATAACATGAGGAAAAGGATTTGTGTGTTGAAGAAAGGACAGATGAAAAGTTGAGTACTTGAGCAAATAGAACAGAGCAGAGCCTGATAACAGGTAAAAAGTAGAATTCTTACATGGTTCTTCACCAAAGGACTCTGATATAAGGTAGTTTTCTTTCTGAAAAGCAAGCATGAGGACAAGGATTGAATACTATAAGAGAGTTGTGGTGTGTATGGTATTGAAAATGTAAGTAAAATGTGACCCAGAAATCTGCAGGTGTAACCAGAATCAAAGCTGTTCTGATCACAGGCTGCATTTTCTTCACTAGAGCCCTTCTCTGACCATGCAATCTCTGCTTCCCTGACCTTGCAACACACCATTTGTGCAAGCAATGGAGGAATGCACATTTGTGTCATTCTTCTCGCTCAGTAATTCACAAATGTGTTTGGATGTGTATGTACACAAATAGAAGACTGAATATCTAAGATTTCAGCACTGCTCTAAAAACGTTATTTGTTCATATCAAACTAGGTTGTGCTTCTTATTTATTTAACTTCTATTTCAAAAGTGCAGCTGGACACACAACTGAATTTCATCTGACTTTCATATGGGAAATTCCTATACTTTCAGACTTGTGTTGTGTGCTGGCCAAGGAGGAAGGTTTCTGGCATAGAAAGCTCTGAAGCATTTTAAGTCAAGGATATCTGTTTTGGTTTTGTTTAAATGTTAAGATATGGTTCAGTCTCCTGACCTGCTGTTCTTTTCAAATATGCTGTAATAAGGACCTCATTCTCATCCTTTTTCCTTGTATGATCCATGCTTCTTAGCTGAGCAACAGATTCACTGAGAGCTTGCTGAGGATTCAGGTTGGTTGACTCCTAAAACAAAATCACTTAACTTTAAGTTCTCTAAAGGAAAAAAGGGAGGAATAAAAAGATATCTAGATATCTTTCTTACTATATAACATATGTATTTTTGAGATATTTCTGTTTGCTTCCATTCCTTTCCATTTTTGTTTATTTATTGTTTCTGTTTTTCTTTCTTTATGAAAACTTTTCTTGTTTTCATCAAAACCGGAACCCAAAGAAAATGCCTTAACAGCCCTGTATTATTCTGTATTCCTATGTTAATTATTGAGCTGTGCTTCAAGCTACTGGGATAGACTAGGGAGTAGTAGACAGCAGTTCTAGATGTTTCAGGAGATTTTACTATAGGTAATAGTAACACTGTTAAGGGGATATTCAAACAATATTAAGGGATACAAAGAAGTGTCCTGTTCAAGTTACATAGCATGTTTCCTGAATTACAGGAGAAAAAATGTAAGAAACCGAATAGTTCTACTGAATATCTTCTGTTGCCAAAACACAAGGCTTTTTTATGTTGGTGCCTGTTTTGAGTAGATAAGACTCTAGCGCTCTTTCCGAAAGTAAAATAGTTACTTGGGACAAAATCTGAGCTTTTGCTGCAAATTTATTGAAAAAGAACTTTCCATCCATTTTGGAAGTGGTTAGGACTGCCATGTTCACTTACTGAATGGATCGTTGCTGACACTGGTAAATGTTTTTTCTATTGTATTTGTATTAAACTTATGCTAGATTCTATTGTGCTATTTTAGGGACATGTCTGTATTTGTATTTCTTCACTTAACTCTGTCTTCTCCTGCCTTACAGACTGCACTGTTTCCTCCTTTTGTTTCATGTAAGTAATTTTCTTTGGTCTCAACAATACTTCACTGATAAGAGGCTAAACACAAATATTTGTAACACTGAACAATGCATGGAGTTTCTGGCATGGATAGTTCTGTCTTCTAGGTTAAAAGCAGGTGATAAAAGGAAGGGGGGAGGGGAATCCCCAAACACAACAGTTTTAGATGATTCTTATTTTTGGTTTGCTGTGTCATAACCTTACAAAGGGAATCACAGAATTATAGAATGGTTTGGGTTGGAAGGGACCTTAAATATCATCTAGTTCCCATCCCCCTGCCATGAGTGACGACACCTTCTGCTAGACCAGATTGCTGAGAGCCCTGCCCACCTGTTCTTAAATATTTCCAGGAATGGGGCATCCACAGCTTCTCTGGGCAACCTGTACCAGTGTCTCAACACCCCCACAGTAAAGATTTTCAGCCTAATATCTAATCTAAATACACCCCCAATTTAAATCCATTGTCCCTTTTTCTATTACTACATGCCCTTTTAAAAATAACAGTAATCAAAAGCTGGACATAAGTAGTGAATTTGTCCCCAGTGCCAAGATGTGAAGCTGTGCTTGTAGTCCAGTAAAATCAAATCAGATAAAATAATGCCATTTTAAAAAGACAGCTACTGAAACCACCTACAAATATGCTGCAGAGTGTTCTTGGAGAACTCAAACTGCTTGGAAGTATCTTGAAACCTTGAATCATACTTGTCTTTTTCCCCCTCATGATTGCTGAATAGAGAGGTGGCAAGGAAGGTGGTGTGCTGCCAGATGGGATGCCCTTGGAGTGGCAGAAGGTTAACATGACCTCTGTGCTGGCAGCCTTGGGCTGCTACAATGGATGAGGTGCCCTGTATCCAGGTTGTAAAAGCTGCAGGGGTGGCAGTGGGGACCTGGGATAAGTGGACGCATAAAGTCTTCCATGTTCTTTCCCTGTGGAGGTTTCATCATGACCAGCACACACCCAGCAGCACTTACTCTGGTACTTGAGCCTTTTTAAGCCCTCAGCACTGCTGAGCCCCAGGTAGGAAACTGGCTCAGTAGTGACCTGCTTGCTCCTCGTTGATAGTCAGTAATGAGGGGTGGGTCTTTATCTCATTCTGATGTTTGTATCCCATGTTTGTTCCACACTTCACATACATTTTTATCACATGTGAAATGTTTCATACCAAAATATGTGCACCACGGGTATTTGTGAGGAAGCAATGGCTCCTTCCCATGTGAGGAAAATTGTAAAGTAGTGAGGAAAGCACAGCAGATGATCCTCTATGTAAGAGACAGAGGGGCTTTTGTATCTTCACAGAAGCAAAACAGTACTTACTTTAATGAAAAGGAACAACTAGACCTGTCTCCTAGATAAGAAATAAATAGATTTGGGAATAAAGATTAAATCTTAGAAGGACACAATGCCTTGAGAAGGGATTCTTTTATTCCTTAATATATGCAAACAGGTGTGTGAGTATGCAGATTGGTGAAATACTGGGTATCTATGTATAAATACAGGAAAATCTGTGAGAATTCTGTTTAAATAAGAAAGATTGTTTTACTTTGGCTTTCCTCAACTTTTCCTCCACGTATCATTCTGCAAACTTTTATAACAGGTTCTTAATTTTCAGTTTTTTTGGCAAAAACTCCCAAACCAACACTTGTTTGTACTTGTATAGTCTTTCTGACTGAAAAAATAAGTTACCAATCTGAACTGAGTCAGTTGATTGGAGTCTTGGATGTTCTCCAGGGTACCCAAAAAGTGGTAATAGAGCACACAGCATAAGTGTCAGCTCTGTCACCCCACTTTTGCTGCCCTTGCAGGAGTTGGGAGATGGTCCTATATACAGACACCATGAAGACTCTGCAGAAAGATGCCAGGAGTACTTGAAACCTAAGGGTTCCCAGGAACCCTCCCATGTTTTCTGCCAGGCTAGTAAAGGTGGATACAAGAAACTAAAATTTCATGTTGCATGAAGTTATGTACAATTCCAGCATTTTCCTCTGCTGTGATTGTCAAGGGAAGTACCTCTTCTCAATTAACACCAATGCCAGAAGAACCACTGCTGTCTTCTGATACAGGGCAGTCAACAGGAGGAAGAGCTGCAGTGATGAGTTTCTGATCCAGAAACCTGTTCCAGATGGAATCCCAAGGGTGTTCTCAAACTAGACCCCATCTTCCTGAAATGAGTAACTGACTTTTCATGCACTTTGTAAATATGAGCTCAGGAAAACCTTTTAGGGACATATGAAGTCTTAATACAAAACCGGTGGAGAATACCCCATTCCTGTACACTACCTCACTGTTAGAACTGTAAGCTTTGCCTCTAGTCTGACTCTGTCTATCATCAGCTGACACCCAATGGATCTGGCTTCTGTGCTTTAGTTTTCCAGACTGTAAATCACCCCTTTATTATGTCTACACATAAGACAGTTCTCTGAGGTCACTTATTTGAGACCTGTTTTCTCATCACCTAAATGCTTTCAGGTTTCTTTTTGACACCCCTGCTCACTGTGCATCAGTTGGGACCTTTGGGCACTGGCACTGCACAGTATTCCTGTAGCAATGGCTCTGGTTTATTCAGATTCTTCAGATTATTTCACCAGATGTTTTCCCAGGTATAGTAGGTATAGGGATGCACGTTTTCCTTTTGACAAGATTATGGCTTTGAACATTCACCTGCAGTTGTGTATCCACCTCCTCTTCTTGGAGTCTCTACTTCCTTGGAAGTGACTGCATCATGCCTACAAACACTGCGACACCAGGAAGCCTGTGGGACTTAACACCAAAAAGACTCTCCTCTAATTCTTCAGTATCTTCCCATTTGGTGTTCTGCGTATTTATTTTTTGTCATCTGCAAGCTTTAATAGTAGTTTTAGTAACTTTATGTGTATTAAATGATAATCCAAATTGTTTATTTTACCTGAATAAATAGGGAACAGAGCATCAGCATCTTCAGAAGAACTTCAGCAATATTGAAAGCAGTAAAACAGTGTTGCATTTCTACCTGCCAGGATACGTTTAGGAGCCAAACCCAGAGAGCCTTTTTGGATGTTTGCCTCTCTGATGGCAGCAATATTAGACTTTATACCCAGACATCAGACACTGCAGAAAGTATGTTACAGGTAATGACTTTCTAGAATTGTGTTGAAAGTTTCCATTTGTGAGAAGTGGACAAAAATTAATATAATTTTAATTAGGAAAGGATATGAAGACATACAAGAATATTTTCTGTGGGCTTTGAGGATTTTATTGTACCAGAGAGGTGGGGGGGCATTGCTGGTTTTCCAGATGAGATTTTTGGGTCCTTAGAGTTGTCCACAATTAACTTCTTAATGTTACATGACTTCTGCTTCTGTGACATTTAGCTGTCAAGTCCAGGTTTCCTTCACATATGATAGAATCAGAAAATACATAGAGACACATTCATAATTAAGCTGCCTTTGGTTTAGCATAACGTGGGTAAAAGTTCTTGAACACTCAAGTCAGAAATTATCAAGTCTTCACTTATGTCTTGGCAGGCAGCTGGTGTTAAAATTGAGGGTACAACTGATGCATCTTTTTTTTCTGCATGCTTCTCTTTACTTGTTTTGTGTCCCTTGGTGCTTTCTGTGGAACTGTGTGTTTGCAGTGCTGGTGCCTTCTAGCATTGGCTCTGGGATATCTGTAGCAGCTGTTGCAATACACACAGTAAACAATTGCTAGTTACAATTTGTAACCAGTAGCAACCAAATATTGTTTACACAACTGGCTGGTTTGTGTTTGAAACTTTCAGCTGGAGTTCTCTTCTTGTGCCAGGAGAGGAGGAGCAGCAATGGCTCGGCCTATTTTGTGTATTTGCACATTTTTCTGTGTGCACAAGCAAGGCATTTTTGGTTGCCCTCATTTCCTAGTCCTAACAGCAATAACAGAGCATACATCTACCCATGGGTGATGCTCTTTGTCATGGGATTCTGAAATTCCCTCTCACCGTACAGAAAAGCATGCACATGTTTCTGCTGTGCCTTTGCAATCTAAGATTGTGAAGGAGGTTCTCAACTGGCCATGGGTATAAGGGAGCTGGACACGTGTTTGCTGTACTCTGTTGAGCTGATATGTGTTAGTCCGGCCTCAGAATTTACACTATCTGTGCACAGGAGCCATAAACTGGATAACACAAGGTGACTCCTTGCTGTCTTTGTTCTGCCGTGGGGTTTGTACCGCCTGAGGCAATGCTGGGACCGGTTCTTCCAGGGGAAGTGTCAGAGTCGGCCTTAGACCCTGCAACAGAGACTTGTGAGTTGGGACATGCCGAAGGCAAAATGCGTTGGGGGTGGAAGGGAGACAGGAATTCTGATTTGGGGAGAGAGAAGTAGGTGCTAATACGGTGGAAAAAGTAAGGAGACATTCTTAGACAAGAAACTTGTCCAAAGGGCCTTGAGTAAGGAAAGGATTTTCTAATACACTTTAAAAAACATTAGTAATTTGTGCTTGATAAACGTGTCAGTTTGCAGTGGGTTATGGTAATTTCCAAGCCAGACAGTGGTGCTGTATATTGCTTTGTATGTTACTTTTATGTATGTTTAAGGTTTATGTGACACTATAAAGAAGCAATGACACTTGTTAAAACACTGCAGACACCATTTCTTCTCTTGTAGTCTTAAAGATGAAATAGGACTTTTGGGAACTATTTAGCTTTTGTCACTGTAAATTGCTACTACATTCACTGTTATTTTGTGATGGAGGTAGATTTTACAACACTTACTCCCTGATATTCTGGTGCTCAGGCAGCATATACCAGTTTGTGCTTTGATCCAAGAAATAAAACCAGTCAAAATTCTTCTAAATCTGAGATATGTTTGCCATTCCTACATGTCTGCTTTTTGAACCCACTGATACAGATGGAGAAAACACTTCTGAACTGTGAAGATGAACTTACAATGCTGTCACTGTGACACAGAGTTTGAACTGTTTTGAGACTGGCATGCCTTGGAAAAAGAGAAACCTGACACTTCTACCTTATGCTCAGACAAAGTCGATCCTCTCTGACCAAAGCATGAGTTTGCACATTCTGCCAGAGTAGCTATGACAGTAGTATTCTCAGGACCGAAGAGATTTCTTATAATTGCCACACCACTTTCCTGAGCAAACTCAGGAGATTATGGTCACCATGAAATTTAGGAATGCTTCGATGGTACAGCATTCTTTTAGGTTATGGCTGTTTAAACTTATGCTTTGATTTTTCAGAATCTAAGCCAGAATAAGATAAATATCCCAATCAAATTCAGTGGTTAGTGGGCTCACCTCTCCCTGACTTTTCTGTTCCCACTATCCCATTGTGCAGCTGGTCCTGCAAATATTGTCTTCATTTTCTGTTGGTGCTGCTTTTGCCCACTTTCAGAGATGTAGAGAGGCCACAGCAAACTAAAAGCAGCCCAAATGTCAAGCCAGATAGGGTTTTTCGTCCTTATGCACTATTGATAATGAAAGTTCAACAGAGCTCAAGTCTGCTCTTGTCAGAAGCCTTCACAGAGAGCCCTAGAAGACTGGTGTTTTCACTAAAGGGGCAGGACGTGTAGATATTTCCTAGAAAAACAAGAGAACTCTATCAGCCTGGAAAACACACAAATCCTGTAAAAATATGTATTTGTGATGCTCAAGAGTAATGTTAACTCAGAGCAGTGCTCGCTGTACAACAGGATTTGAGGATTTAGTAGCCAAGATCTGGAATAACATGGCAGATGCCTTGCATTAGAAAATAAATGCATGACAGTAGTAAACAGTCTATTTTATTACATTTTTACATGACTTTAAAACTTTGGAAACTCATCACAAATTCACATGCTGGAATATGGGAGTGGTTATATTTACTTTTAAATGGTACATAAGGGAAAATTTTAAAACAATTAAGTTACATTAATCGGTATTGAACACTTCTCCCTTATTCGTGGTAATGTATAGTGAAGCTTCTGACCTTTGTTTTTGAAGGTTACACTGTGTGAGGTGGGTCTGTTGAGAGAATAAATAAAATACTTTAGCCTATTTTTCTTTCAAGGTTGTGATGATGAAGCTCTCTCTGGTAGGTTTTACATCGTGCTTAACTTTACTCTGCCTTGGATTTTTGTTGTTGTTGCTGTTGGCTGCAGTGACTGACTGAAATCTGAACAAGGCTTGCATGATCCTGCTAAGGTGAAAAGACCCATCTGGTCTAATAAATTCCCTCAACCTCTCTCTCCCTACTTCTTGGAAAGTTTGGTAGTGGGGAAAAAAGTATGGCAAGAGAGAGGGTGGTGTAGGGGTAAGACCTTCACGTATGAATATCATCGCTTTGAGTTTACAAGTCATGTAGCAACTTTACCACATGGGAACTACTGAGTGTGTATTCTAGGTAGGCATTTAATGGGATGGCCATACCTACATGAAACAGATCACATGCTGAGTTTAACAATAGGACAGGAAGCTCTTTTGTTATACTTACAAACAATGCCTCTAGTTTACTTTCCTTTATATCATTGTATGTTTCTTAACTGCTCGTAGCTGAAGTTTGACCACAGTGTTATTAAGCAAGCTGTAAATCAGGGTTGTGGGTGCCTTTACAATCATAAAATCGTTGGTCAGCTGATGTCGTGGTTCCCATGTGGGTGGGCACATGGATGAGGCAGATTCCAGGCCTGTGACTGGGAGATAGATTCAGGCCACATCAGGACAGTGTACAGTCTTTGCTTTGACTGGAGTTAAATTAGGCATTGCACTTATTTAGCTTTTTTCAGTATTTGATTGTCATAGAAATGTAAGTGCTCTTCTGAATGTTTTAAAATGAAGGACCAGTTACTACTGGCCTTACCAAGGAACTCAGGCTTACTTACTAAGGTAGAAACTTTACAGCCTGTGTCTATTTTATTTACTATTCCCTTGCCCTCTTCATTCTGCTGTGAAAGATATCTCTGAGTACACAGTTGGCAGCTACTACATCTCAAATATATCTTCCAGTGCAGTTCCAGATGGAATTATTGTTGCCTAGTATTATGATATGATCAGATACACAGGAGAATAGAAAAGTTTTTCAGCTGATTACATTTCTATATATCCTTGATAATCCTCACAAATACATCAAGTCCAAATGTAACCCACATTCCACTGCCAAAAAATGTTTAGATGCTCACAGGATTTAAAAGGTATGCTTAAATGTTCTGCTGAATGGTGCTATAGGATTGCAATTAAATGTTTACAAATTTAGACCTTTAGACTTTTTTTTTTTTTTTAAGTAAGCAGAAAACTAGTGATGTCTGAATAGTGACATGCTTTTCCTGCTGTACACTGGCATTTTACATACCTTGTCTGGTGATCTGTTCCAGAAAGCGCCAATCCTGGAAGTTTCCATCCATGTGTCCTGTAACATCTATCATGCTTAGCTGTGTTTTGAGTGAAGGTTATCCTATAAGACCATAGTCTCAGGGAGTAGAGATGTTCTGTCAGTAGCAGAGCCTAGACTGTTTTGCAAGATTAGGCTCAGAGAAGATAACTAACTTGTCACTTTACATTACCCCAGAATCTGTATTGTTTTTCTTCTCTAAAAGTTATTGCTAGCCAACAATAACTGATACATGAAAGTAGTTGAGCTATTTCACTAGATTTCACCAAGTGTCTCTGTGGTTTTTCTTTTCTCAGTGGTGAAAAAAGTGGCAGAACTTGAACTTCCTTATGTGAAATTTCAGAGCATGAAGGAGTTGCACTGTAAGCTTGGGATCCGACAGTGGTGAGCGAGATGCTTATGTGAAACCACTAAGATGTGTGAAAACTACTATAAGCAGAAAAAGAAATCCCTTGAATAACTTAGTTATGAAGCCTTCAAGCTCAGCAGCTTGACTTTTTTTTCCCTGAGGCCAATTTTTAATTGGAATTAACTGTTTTCTGTGGTGTTGCATGTTTAAATTTTAGCACTGTAGTATCCCTGAAGAGTTCTTTATTGTAGTTAGCTATTTATTCCCTCTCTCTTTCAGAATCTATAGAGAGGTGTTTTGTGGTTTCTTGCCTCCTAATATTTATACTTGCACAATGCAGTGACCACAAATAAAAATATGCCTGTAAACAATACAGAAGAGAACTTTGAGTTCTGAGTTGCAAGCTGCCCCTCTGGGCAGAGGTGGATTACTTTTTATCTGAAGTGCTCATTTCTATACACTAACATCCATAATAGTTGAGGCCATAGCTTGAGCATTTCTTTTAGTAAATAGCCTGGCTTAAACAGCAGAGCACTCTTCTCTTTTCATTTGCTTGTTCCTTAGGCTACTCCTCTATTATGCTGGTGGGATTGTGTGGGCAAACAGTGGTGAACTGGACTGGGGAGCTAACCTGGTCTAAAAATACTAGCTCTTTATTTTTGATTTGTTTTTGGCCTGAATCAGCCCCAGTTTCTGTGCAGCAAATGGTAATGCTGATTTATGGGTGAGGATAAACCCTGGGGATGGGGAGCCTGGTGCCAAGGTCTCACTTGTCAGAGTGCTCCGAGGAGGCAGTTAGGGCAGCAGAGCAGGGCCAGTCTAATGGTTCCCTGCTGCAGTTGTGCTCAGGTCTACTTCTCCCTACAATGAAAAAAAAAAAGAAATCTGTGTTTTCTCGCTTAGTGAGTTGTATTGATTGCAGCAGATGCATGAATGGAGTGGAAGAGGAAGAACAGACCATGTAAAGACGTGGTGGCAGCAAGGAAAGGTACACAGAAACCTATTTTTCGATGCTGGTAACTTGACTGGTTTAAATCTATTGCAGTGGCTGCTCTAGGAGCCTTACCAACTACTGTGTAAAGAAACCCATAGCTGTTTGAGAAAAGGAGGAAAAAGTTCTATATTGTAACTTACATGTTTAGTACCATCAAAATCAGTGGAGAGATTGGATTACCTGACGCCAGTTTATTTCCATTCTGCTACAACGTGTAAAGAATGAGTATAAGACACACTTCAAGATCACATCTGTTGTTTGGTTTGGTGGTTTTTTTAATCTCGTAAGTAATGAAATCTTTCTGGATTGTGCTTCCATTTTATTTAGCTGAAAAATTGAAACAACCGTTCAACAGAAGAATTTCTTCATGTTTTAGTACTACTTTCACTTGGCCTGGGAAAGTTGTATGGATCCTTCTCTCAATACACTGCTGATGGATTGTAGAATTTCACTGAACTTGCTACGTACCCAGGTAAAACTGAAAGGACTTTATAATCTTAAAGATTACCTTTCCCATATTAATTTAATCTTTTATACAAATTCTTGACATATTTATAAATTATTCTTCTTGGCACTGATTTGTGCCATGTTTTCTAAGTGCTGGATATAGCTGTTGTTGATAGGGGGCATGTAGGTGTTTTGGGTTTTTTTCTGCTTCAAACTCTCGTATTAGAGATTCTAACTCACCTATGGCTTATGCATGGCAAAATTATTACACAAAAAGGACATATTTCGGTATCTATCCACTGTATTTTCAAGGTGATATGTGTATTCTAATGTTCCTAACATGTAGGCACTCTGCCATCATATGAGAGCATGTAGGTGAACTGAAGGTTTATTGAGTTGTACACCTACATGCAGCTTTGGAAATTATCAATTCATGAGGAAAGAACAGTGTGGAGTGACTTTGTCCTAAAATCAAAGGCTTTGTTTAAAACCCAAAATAAACTGCAAGCTTTTTATTTCTATGCGTTTCTGAATGTTTATGTGAAAAGAAATAAATTTTTGCTGACTTTTTCTGCTATTTTTAAAAATTCTTTCAAGGCAGTCCAGGAAGTTAAGAGGAATTGGGTTAAACCAACAGATGAGCAGATGCAGGAACTCCAATTTCTACAAAAAATGTAAATAAAGCAAAGGTAAAACAGTATTTTAAAAACCCAATCAAAACAGATCAAAGAAGTGGGTTTTTAAAAGAAATGGTACTAGGGGCTGTGACTTAAAAAACAGACCATGGTTTTGTGGAATCACTTGAACTAGAGACCCAGGTCTCCCATCTCCTGGTCAGATACTGAACAATGGAATAGAAAAGGAGATTCCTATCTCTGTTAACATTTTTCAAAAATCCCAACAGAATAAGCTGGATCTCAAGGGCTGGCAAGAAGTATTTGATTGAATGCTATTCTTCTCTGCAAAACTCAGAGGCAAAAGTTTGTCATTCAGTTTAGGCAACTAGATGAAAATTCAGACTGCTGGGTTATTGTTCACAATACTTCTTGCTTTAGTTTTCTCTTACTATTATCATATCTGCTAATCATCCAGAAGATCCATCTCATCATATCCTGTTAAAAAAAAATTTAAAAATCAAGTTTCTTACTCTGGACTATGAGCACTATACTCTGAATTAAGCACTGACTTATTGTGTGAATCTGTGTCTTGGCAGAAGAAACAGTATTAGGAAGTTGAAACATCTGTCTTATAGCCCTTTTAGTTTATTTTTTTCATTTTTTTTCTCTCCAAATCACGAGACCTACTTGCCTTTACAGCAAATTGTGTTAGTTCTGTCTTTTTGGTGCAGTTCCCAATGCAGATTTGAGAAATACAGTTCTGTGGTACATACAGCTTGATGCTTGATCCTTTTATTTGTGATTATCCAGAAGAAAGCTGCTCAGCTGACATCCATATTGGCAATGATGAGATAGATTAGCTGTTGCATGATGCTGCCTACTAACCGAATTAGAGGTCAGCTTTAAAATCAACAGGTTAAGAATTTGGCAGGTTACTTTTCTTGTAAGTACTTCACTGACTTTTTGTTGGAGTGTGTAAATAGAAGCCTCTCTGAGTCCCTCGGAGAGAGAGAAGAATGCAGGGATTGAATTAAAGCCTTTAGAGAAATTAAAATATATTTAGCCACACAGACATGAAGTAGGAGTCTAGGAATGGTAAGTTTTAGTTTTAAGTAAGTAAGAAATATTAGTAAGTCACATAGATATGAAGTAGAAGTGTAAATTTTAGTTTTAAGTAAGTAAGAATATATTATAAGTGCCTTAAGAGAGTAAAAAGTCCTAAAACCTAAAGTTCAAGCAGCCTAAAGCCTAGTTAAAAGTTCAGAAACTTAGCCCCAGACATAATGAAAACATAATAAGAACATTGCTTACATTTTCTAGATAGAACAGATAGAACCATTTACGTGAATAGATAGAGCTATATGTGTAAATTATGCCACTACTTTCATACTCTAAAATTAAGATTCTAATAGGTGTAGAAGGAATGTTTTACGTTCATGTTTTTAGCTCATTGGATGATTTCTGAATAAAAACTCCTGTATTGCGGTGAGACAACACCATCACCACCACCACCATCATCACCACTCAGAAGAAGAAGAGGAAATGCCAGGAAGCTGCTGCTGCTGCTTCTGCTCGCGACTCTATGCCAAAAAGCTTTCAGCATGGACTTTAATATTCTGAACTCTTTGCCTTCAAGACTGATGTACTTCTGCAATAAACAACTTTACAACAACAAACAACTGCTCTTGTCTCTTTGAAGACCCAGAGCCGTGAATAACTCGACAACTTTGTATTTACATTCACTTCCTCTTCATGAAAAATAAGGTTGGAAGGTCTGGAGAGAAGGGGGTGATGTGTTTTAAATCTTATCCACTTGTCCATATTCCCCTCCAAACCTATTCTGAAACATATTCCCTTGGCAGCCTTTACAGCAGTGAAACATCTCTCTTTACTCTGCTGTTTTCTTTCTTTCCTAGCATTCCATGTCATGCTTTACCTGCCCCTTTCCTTTTCTTTTGGAGGTAGTCAGAGTTTTGTGTGGGAGCAAAATAACTGCTTTAGCCAGCTTTATGCTTGCAAAGACTGCCCCTTCCTATCTCCCACTTGCTCCCTCCCACAGGGCAAGTGTTCTGGTAGAGATTTCAGCTGTTTTATTTGTATACTGTATAAAATGAACCTAATTGACTGATTCTGATTTAAGGCTGAACATATTAATGACGTTTTTAGCTGCTCCTTCTGTTCATTGGCTGGAGGGTTTTTGTTTTGTTTTTCTGGTTTTTGTTTTTCCAGAGTATACAAAGGAAGCCAAAGAAGACACGCTGGAGTTCAGATTTGAGTACAATGACTCAGGCACATGAAACTGGATAATTCTGTACACAAAACAGGTTATTTCTCAATCCTTTTAGGAAAGGATCAGAGTAAAATATAATCTTACAGGGTTAGTCATGCTTAGGCTGGGCCATAAGGAACTCGTTTGTTGCACTGTAAGGATGTTAAGAACAGGGTAAAATTAACTGAGTCAGGAAAATTATAGTTCAGTAGTTAGGGACTGCAATTTCCTCCTGGAGAAGGAATGGAAGAGTCAACTACATCATTTTGAAAAAATCAGAACATTCTCTGGTTTATGTTCTTTATACCTTTGTGTTCAGTAGCTGCTTGAGGAAAATACTATCAGAACAGATGATGGAGGCAGCCAAAGGCCAAGAAATGGTGAGCATGTGTGTTGGTATAGGAATTTGTATTTAATATGAGACAAGGCTGCTACTCTATCACTCTTACAACTGTGCTGAAAGAAGTACCATTGAGGAAAAGTATCTTGCACATTACAAAATTTCAGTCCAGAATTAATTGACTATTTCAGTTTTACTGAAATAATTTTCTGAATGTTAGAAGGTTTATCATCTCAGCTTTAATAATAAGTTTTACATTCTCTCTCCTTGACTTTGACTTTTTCTGAGTATGATAAAGGATATAGATGGTATAATTTTTTGTATGTTCTGCACTACCCTGTTGTATCCATTTCTGCCTTTCAAATTTTCCCCACTTTGGTTGCTTGCTCCATCTGCTGCAATGTTAGACCAAATTAAGATCTGTGGCATTCACACAGAGAAAACTTTTTATTTTAAATAAAAGTGTTAATAAAGTAAAAGTCTAATTTGTAACTAAAATATTTCTATCTTTTGTGTGGGCCTTTCAGGATGGAAGGATGTTTAGATATTTGATATTTTAAAAAAATAATTTACAGCATTATTGTCTTTATTTAACCTTGTGATATCTAAAACTTTGTCTGCCGACTGAAAATGTCTGAAGAGAAAAAAGATAGGACAATGTGTAATCTTCTAGGCACATGCTGATTAGAGCAAGCAGTGAGGAAATGAACAGCATGTTATTTCATAGCTTTAAACTATAACTGATTCAGAAGAAAAGGCCAATTTTAATCTTGGGAAAGACTGGATCTCTTTATTTCTAAATTTATTTCTAATAGAAGTAAGCTTTTAATTATGAAGATTAGCATTCACTATGTAACTAGTCAGCTGTGGATAGTAGCTTGTACTAAAACACAGAATTATGAGAGAAGGGCCACTCTGCCAGTTCATTTCTTACACTGTTGCTGCTGGGTGTAACTGAATGCTGATTTTCTCAGCATAATTTGTTACAGTACTTAAAAGAACATTTCAGCTTATTCTCAATTTGCATTTGTCAATCTGTTCTGGAGATCAAGATGCCTGAATAGATGAAGAATAGTAAGAAATCCAGCATTCAACAAAAACAGGTTAGTGAATGAGAAATTGTGTCCAAAATGTAAATACAGTGTATTCTTGCTTGTGTTGTTCAGTCCAACCTCTGTTTCCTGGTTAGGTAAACTTCTAAAAAATTTAGTAAGAACTTCTTTGGGTAGGAAAAGGACGAAAACCCGAATTTTTGTGAGGATGAAGAAGGCAAAAACATGTCGAATAAAATATTTTATTTTAGCTTGATAGTTCAACAACTTGTTTAATTTTGTTTGCTTATTGCAAGTGTTTCTGAATGACACATTTGAAATTTACAGAAAGACAGAATGTATATGGAGATCAGTTATGTATGTCTGCATGCACCTGCTGATATATTTTACAGACTTGTACTGTGATTCCACACTAGGATTGTTTGTGCATTTGTTTTTCCTTCTGGTTGGGAATCATACACATTTGGAAAATCTGACATGTTACATATCCATACGCAGGACATTCCCATCTCATAAAAAGATGCAATTCCAAGTTCATTTGCAGGAATCAGTATCCATTGCTGATAGCTCCTGAACAGCTAAATGATGTTGCTCTTTCAAATTATTTGTTGAATGAAAGGGAATAATATAAAGTGCATTAAAATAAATACCTCTATTACAGTGTGTGATTGGCTGAAGAAAAATATTTCTAAAAGAAAAATATTTCTAAAAACTCAATCTGAATTCAGAAAAAAAGTGATGTTGCTGTACCTTCAGAAACCATAAAACCAATCACCAACTGCTCTTTAATAAGCAAATTGATTAAATTGTGTGGTGGGTTCTCTTGCCCCTTTCTTTGAAGTGCTCTGTACTTGTTATGGCTGGAGATGAGATTCTAGGTCAGGTGTTGCCTTCAGCATTCACAAATAACTTGCAAATTATATTAAGAGAGACAACATTTTCTGACTAGAATTGCACCTGTGTTGGAGACTGAAGGATATGGTTTAGTGGCTTTGCTGTGGCAAAGCTTTAGCAAGGACTAAGTTCTGTGGCACTCTGGGCTTGAGGCCATTGGTCTGACCTGAACATATTCAAAATATTTTTTTTGTGAGAAGAACAACCTTGGACAGGGCAACAGAAAATCACTGAGCTTATCAGCTGTGTCTGGCTACTGACACAAAACTCGGTGAGCTAAAAAAAATTAAAGCTGATAATTAGAATAGAGCTGTTAAAGCAAGTCACAGCGTGCTCTTGTGTTAAACAGTGATGGTATGGAATGGTATATGTCATTTTATACAGCAAACTTGAAGTGGTTTACATCTTCATACACCACGTGGTGTTTTTAGAGAATTAATATCAAATCTTAAACCATGCTTAGCTAGTTTCTAAATGCTGTGATCACAATGTTCTGAAAGGATTTCCTCTGCTATTTCTCTATTGTTTTTGTGAGATGATTGAAAAATGTAGTAAGCTTATCTTTTGTACATTCTCATTTGAAAAAGCGTTGATTGAGTTGGGTCTTTATAATTTTGGCATTAGCATCCCCAAGGGTCTTATAAATCTTTGCTCTGAGTTGGAGAAAAGTTTAACTGATGCTGAAAGACTAAAGACTTATTGCTGACTCATGAGAAGAAAAACATAACTTTTATTCTGTTTCTGACCCTGTAGGGTACATGATACTTAGCTTAGCATAACAGCCTGGAAAGTCTTGTCTGAATACACAACAGCAGCAGTAAGATTTAGTGGGAAAATGAAGAAGCATAGGTGGACTTTGCAGATAGTGAGGCTGTGATGTAGAAGTGCCTGCACCTAGGCAATTCTGCTGTTATGTCTTTTAGAAATCTTGAAACAGGCATGAAATAAGTTCTGCAGGGATAATTTAAGCAAAACCTGGTTCCAGATTCCTAATGCCTTGATGTTAGTTATTGCAGCATGGTTACCATAGCTTCATGATAGACACTCTTATTAGATTTTCAGGACATTTACTTTACAAATATGTATCAAGATGATAAATCAGTGCCATAAATTTTCCTAACACAACAGAAAACTGCATATACAGGCAATGGAATAATATAATTTGCCTGCTTATACCTGCCAGATGATATGGTATTCAGAAGCTCCAGACAGTACTTGGTACCCTTCAGGAAAAGTAGAATTGAAAGGTAGCTTTTATGCAGTTGTTATGGTTAAAGAATGTGTGATTAACAGAAGTCAATCTAATTCAGAAGGCCTATTAGGCAGTTAAAGTACCTGCATATATGTCCTTGTTGGCATCGATGTTGGCACATTTGGAACTGCTGTTAATCTACACATACAGTACACTGTAATAAGGCTTAGAGCAGAAACAACTGCTCTTGTGTTCTATTCCAGCAGGAAAAAAATAATTCTGTTCTCTCTGAAATATCCCAAAGAGATCAATCTGAACTGTATTATGTGAAATTTTCTAGCTTGTTTGTATCTACCTATAATTATTGAAATGCATATGCCCTTCTAACTGTTTATTTGTTCCCCTGCATGTAGTTCATTTGGGTTGTATCTCAAGTAAAAGATTTTTAGTTAGGCCAAATGAAGATTACTGTGTATTTGAGAAAATCATAGAAGACCTTAATAATTTACTTTAGATACTGTCTTTCAAAATGAATTGTCTGAAAATAATAAACCCATTGCTGAAGTCTTGAATTATAAAGCAAAAACCAAAAAACAAAACAAACAAAAGCTCCCAAAGCTCCCCCAAAAAACAAAAAAAGCACAAAACAGAAAAACCAAACCAAAAACCTTCACTGTAATTCATTGCCTGTGTACTGTCCTTTAGAGTTTTTACGAATAGTTACCAGTGAGAACGGGTGCGGAGACTCTGCTTTTTTGTTTTGTTTTTCCTTTCTCCAAACACTGTTCGAGCAGAAAGGAGAGGGATATGACTGGAAAAGGTGCTACTCTATTAGCAAGGAAAAATTACTTACACATCAGTTTGTAATGTTTCTGTGAGTGTCTGTGCTTAGTGTGATGGTTGAGAAGGCTCTTGCCACCTCGGCATTGTCTGGGAAAGGCATGCATTTCCTCTGACCCTTCCAAGCAGACCAGACTGTTTTGGTTCACTTACTGACCTGCTGAGGTATCATCCATCCAAAAAAAATAAAGCTACACCAATATTTTGGGTGAAGTCAAATAACTTCATCCCGCACCCTTTCTCCCTCCTCACCCCCGCTCCCATTCACTTTTACTCAGAAGCTTGGTGCTGAGGCGAGGTGGAGACAGAGGCACTGTACTTTGGCCTGAATTTTTAGGTTGCTGATTGTTGTGGGTTTTATAGGGATAGCACACACAGCAGCGTCAAAATCGCAGAATCACAGAATCAGTTAGATTGGAAAAAATCTCTTGAGATCGAGTCCAACCTCTGCTGGAACACCACCCCATCAACCCCACCATGGTCCAGTCTTCAAGTCTTTAAACACCTCCAGGGCTGGAGACTCCCCCACCTCCCTGGGCAGTGTCTAATCGCCCTTTCTATGAAGAAATTCCTCCTAATATCCAACCTAAACCTCCCCTGGCACAGCCTGAGGCGACGTCTTCTTGTGCTGTCACCTGTTGGCTGTGAGAAGAGCCCGACCCCCCCGGGTTCAGCCTCCTTTCAGCGCTGTCCGGAGCGCTCAGGTCACCCCCGAGCCTCCTTTGCTCCAGGCTGAGCGCCCCCAGCTCCCTCCGCTGCCCCGCACGGCGCTTGTGCTCCGGACCTTCCCAGCCCCGCTCTCCTGCTCCGGACACGCTCCAGCTCCTCACTGTCCTTCCTGAACTGAGGGCCCAGAACTGAGCCCACAACTCGAGGGATGGAGTCACCAGAGCCGAATATGGGGGGACAATCCCTGCCCTGGTCCTGCTGGCCACGCTGTTCCTGATTTCCTGCCTCTCGGCGGGCCCGCACCGCTCCGCCCCGCGGCTCTGCCCGTCCGGGAGCCCGGGCCAAGGCGCCGTCAGGGCCGGACGGGCACGGAGCGCCCGGCGGCCTCCGCCCAGCAGGGGGCGCGCGCGCCCACCCCGCCGCCCGCTCCGCCCGCCCCGCGCGCCCCCGAGAGCCGCACGCAGGTACGGCGGGAGCGGGGCCGGGAGCCGCGGGGCCGGGCGGCGGCGGCGGCGGGAGGCCCGGGGGGCACGGCGGGGCACGGCGGGGCACTGTCATCCCGGATAGGCCTGGGCCAGGCCCGGAGAGGGACCTGGGGACGGGCCCTGCGCAGAGCCCGGCCCGGCAGCCGGAGAGGTGGAGCGCTGTGGTGGGAGAGCAGCGGGAGCGGTGCCAGCCTTCACGGGAGGGGAGGGAGGGAAACGGGGACACGGCCGCCCTGCTGACAGGACATTGGTAAGTGTGCGGCTTTGAACGTGCTTTCTAGGAGAAAACAAGAGAAGTGAAACTGAAATACTTGTTTTAACCTGCTGTCATAACTGTCTTTGATGAAACAATTCCTGTTTTTAAGGGAAATGGAGTAGTTCCCTTTTTTATTTTCTAGACCACACTAAAGCTGCTGCACGTTGTTATTGTGGTGAAAGGTAGGGATAACACCTGACTTGTAGACAGGATAGGGAAGTAACTAGAGAACAAACTTGGTGAGTAATATTGAATCGAAAATCCATCAAATCTGATTATCAGAGGGTATATAATTAGTTCTTTGAAGATCAGTCTTAAGACCAATCTTATTAAATATTTAATAGGTCTTGATGTAGCAATTAAAACTTTACTGTCTTAATTTGGTTGTGATGAAGAGTTGGGAGGCACTGACAGAATGAAAGAGGGTTATAGTACTACACAGAAAGAATTGGGTGATCCTGAGAAACTAGAGTATGAACTAAGTTCAATAACAACGTAAAGTATAAGGGTTTAGAATTGTAACCTTGCAAGCAAAAAATTTGTAGGAGAAATTCTTACCAGTTGAAAGCAACATAAAAGAATGTTAATTAAGAATGTTAATTAACGTGAATGTTAATTAACATTAATGTTAAGAAGGTTAACCAAAGAATGTTAATGTTAACTGTTAAGTAGCTACAAAATATTGAATTGAAGAAAAAGTAAATGCTGACTACAGTGATCCAGTTAAAGGAGGTACTGTTATCCATGAACAGGACTCTAGAATTCTTTGTATAATGTTAATCATTCTCAGCGGAAAAACTGGAACAGAAACAGGAAGATATGCAGAGGTCAAGTAGGGAAATTAAGAGTCTGATCGAAGAGGCATTTGTCTTTTTTAAATTTTGCAGAATAATTGTAGTTTTGTTTTTTGTTTAACCATCGAGGTAAACAATGTGAGGGAAGTAAATTGAGCTAAAGGATGATGTTAATACATGAATAATTTAACATAGATTTTAAGATTAATAATATATGAAAATTTCTAACCATCACAGAGCACTGATATTCAGGACCAGCCTTCCAAACGGTCAAGGAAGAGCAAAAACTGAACACTTACTAGATAGAATGTGACTGGTTTGTAAAAATAATATTTTTCTTTGCTGCAGCAGAAGCCTAAGCTTAGTGTTACCTGTAGACTATAGATCAGTTTTTCTTTTTTGTTTGTGAAATGGGTTGTTAACAAGAACTTAAATTATTAAATTGTTAAATTGCTTTTTTGAAGAAAAGTATTTATAGTAATGTTTGCAGTCTGAATAGTAGAGTTGATGACAGTCAGGAAATGACAATGGCTAATTGCTGTGGTTTTTGTGTGGAAGAAAAAGTTTGATGAGTAGGCTGAGTTGAAGTGTAGTATGTGCATCTGCTGTTTTCTTACCAGAGCAGTGTGAGTTTGCCTCTGCAAGAGGGGACTCTAAAATTCAGTTCTGATCTGTAATCAGTGACGTGTTTCCTCTCTGCAGGTTTTGGTGTCCTTTAGTTAAAGTTGTCTCATCAACAAGGGTGAGGGATTTAAAGCAGTGCCTTAAGTTAGTTGTGTTATCTCACCTCACATTCTTTTGAACTTAATATTTGAGCACCTGTGGCCTTGAAGTCCTCATCTTCAGCTCAGGACCTGAGGTACTTGGTTGTCCAAGGAATAAACTACTGCTAGAGGTTCTTTTAGGGATTTGGGTATGCTGGAATTTTGAGGGATGCCACTCTTTTCTTTTGGTCAGTCTGTCAGTTCATCTCTCCCCACATGATCTCAAGTTGTGGATGTTCCACTTGCAGATAGATCAGTTAATAAGCACATGATGTTTTAAAAGGCATTGATTTATACAAGTTATGTGAAATACATGATCCCTGAAGCATTGGGCTTTCTGGAGAGACCATCCATAGAATGCTGTTAGAGCAGGCAACAGGTCTGGCTTGGGTGCATGGGCTTGTTCCACCAAATTTCCATTGTGAGTATTTATGGTGTTTGTAAGTCAAGAGCACAGATACTGAAATGGTCAGTTTTGTTGTGGTTTGCTTTGCTATTTAAAGATGATGCTGCATACGTGGGGAAAAAGGCTTTATCTTGTGCAGTGCCCCACTGCAGCCTTGTCTGTACTTACAGGACTTAGATTCTGGCTTTCTTTCATGTATCAACATCACTTTTCCAAGTGGCATTTTTTCTTTTACTTCATCAATAAAATTTCAATTGTCTGAGTGGAGCAGAGCTGCTTAAACACCAGTTTTGTCAGTCAGCAAATTTCTGACATTCAAGTAATGAAGCTACATCAGCTGAATTTTATAATATAAACTCAAAGGCACAAATCCTGTAATGCTTAATGATGATATTCTTCAGCATGCTCAAGCCCTCTTACAGTGTCTGACCAGCACTAGTGGATGGTGAAAGAAGAAGCAGCACATTTCAGAAAAGGCTTAGGGTGTGTGGGCTTCCCGTGAATGGTGTAAAATGCTTGTCTGTCTTCTTCACCTCGGAGTTTTTTAGCCACAGAAGAATATGCCTGTCCCTGTTATGTGTTGGTACCTTAGGGGCTGGTTCTCTCTGAAACTGGGTACATCTTCAGAATTCTGCTACATCCAAGGCCCATCAGCTTTTACTCAGGGTTACTGAGTAGGGTTGTAGATACAAGTGATGTATGTAGATCTTCAGGAAGCATAAAAGCAAAGTACCATACCAGAGGCTTTTGAGGAGAATGCATATAGCATTAAAGACATTTCTTACATGCAGAAGTGAAAAAAAATTATAAAGAAGGCTAAAAGAAATTGGCAAAAAAAAGAAAGGAGGCAGAAAGGTGGCAAATGAGCTTCAGTGTGCACAAAGAAAGATGATGTCTTGGGTAGAGTAATCTAAACCATGCTCACATGGTGGTGAACTCACAGCTGGCAGCCACCAATCAATTGAAAGTGCTTGGAGTTACCATTGAATGTTCCCTGGAAATCTAAGCTCAGTGTGCCATGGCAGCCAGAGAGCCAAAAAATGGTGACTGTCCTCAGAGAGGTAGTTAGAAGAAGAGAGGGCACCATTTTGCTGTTGTAGCTGGTGCACCCCCATCTAGGGAAGTGTGTGTGGTTCCAGTCTCTGGCACTGGAAGAAGGATACAATGGGATAGGGAAGAGCAACTGAAAGGGACAAGGGGATCAGCATCCTTAAGAGAAAAGACTGAAAAGTCAGAATTGTTCACAGAGGATATTGCTGGGGCATGACCAAGAGTTATGCAATGAAGGCAGTGAATAAAG